TTAGTGAAGCTGAAGGACCCGTAAACCTCATCTATGGTGCTAGAAAGCAGAACAGTTGTTGCCTAGGGGGTGGGTCATGAGGAAACTTTGTGGGGTGATGGAAATGTTCTCTGTCTTTAGGAGGGAGGTTACGTAGATGTATATGTGTATTGAAACTCCTTGAATTGTACACTTAAGATCTGTGCATTTCACCATCTTTAAACTATGTGGTTTATGAAAGACACATAAAAAATAGGAACAATAGGCCTGGCGTGGTGGCTCACCCCTGTTATCCCAGCACTTCAGGAGGCTGAGGTGGGTGGATCACCTGAGGTCAGGAGTTCGAGACCAGCCTGGCCAACATGGTGAAACCCCACCTCTACTAAAAATACAAAAAAAATTAGCTGGGCCTGATGGCACGTGCCTGTAATCCCAGCTACTCAGGAGGCTGAGGCAGGAGAATTGCTTGAACCTGGAAGGTGGAGGTTGCAGTGAGCCAAGATCACGCCACCGTACTCCAGCCTGGGGGACAGAGTGAGACTCTGTCTCAAAAAATAAACAAACAAATAAATTAGCCGGGCACGGTGGCGGGCACCTGAAATCCCAGCTACTCAGGAGGCTGCGGCAGGAGAGTTACTTGAACCTGGGAGGCAGAGGTTGCAGTGATCGTGCCACTACACTCCAGCCTGGGGAATAGAGTGAGACTGTCTCAAAAAAACAAAAACAAACAAAAAACCACCAATAAAGTGACTTTTTTTGCTCATATGAAATTATTGACTAAGTCATTTCTGTACATTAACTGCCTTCATCATGTTTGTGTAACAGGCACTCCCAGTGCAAAGGGCAGAGTGGATGACACAGCCACCAATATTGAGAAACCACATCCTGCTGGACAGCCTGAAGCTCTCTACTTGCACACTGCCATAACCCAAGGTTTTGGAAATGTACATAGTGAGCAGAAAAAAAACATGAACGCATTGTCAGCTCTGCCACAGACAGAAAACAACTGAGAATCACACATTGTTCTGGAGGGGCAGAGCTACCTTTTCTCAAAACCTTGGGCCTGGGAAGGTCTTCTCTTCTGAGCATGTGGCATAGAGGGCGTGAAACCTCGAACAAACTCTGACCTCTGCCAACAAGAAAGAAGTGGGGGTGGGTTTGGAGGCAACCAATATTTTCAGCTACACATCTCATTTTCCCCAGCTTCATAACTATTCTTTCCAAGTCTTATGTCCAAGTCACATGTCTAGATCCATAGCCCACCCATAACCACTGCTAATTACCAGGCGAAATCACTTCTTTCCCATATACGCAAACCTCTTCTGGAAGACTGGGGACTGCTGACCCACAGTCTTCTGTGCCCAGGGTTCTTTCCTCTTGGAAGTGCCTCATTATTTAAGGCAAGGGCCCAGATCCTCCGAAAGCATAGTGGATTGCATATGACATTTGTAACTGGGATGAGATGTTCTCCTATTATTCTCCCTTTGTGGGAGTCCTCATGTTAGTTGATTGAGGGTAAATTTACACCAGTGCAGAGCTTTCCCTTTAATGTTACCACCATGTCTCTAAGCATCTTACGCCCCCACCTGCCCTGGGTGCTGGAGGAGTGCTGGGCAGAGTGCCAAGCCTCACTCCCACCTGGATGATCAGTGGTAAAGTATGGCCTGCTTTCAATTGGCAGAAACCCTGAGCTGAGCTGCCAAGCAACTCCCTGGAGTTTGGCAAGGTGATGCTTGTTTCCTTAGAGCCTTGCAAGTTTCTTGAGGTCACGTTCTCCTAACTGCTCAGCGCCTCCCCATTCCCTTCCTCAATACCGGCTTTATCTAGTTGGCCGGGGGTGCGGGGTGGGGCTGGAAAATTTCTCAGGTGTGTACATGAACTTTTTCTGTGTTTTTCTTAGACTAGATGCTTTGTATTTGCGGGCTTTGTTTTCCAGGGCTCCAAGCAGCTGACTTGTGTCTAGCTGTCCAGACTGGGGACATGGCTAGCGGGGGCAGTGATGGTAAATTGATGGAAAGAATTTGAACAAAGGAATTCGAGGGAAGGAGGAGGGGAGAGAGCAAGAACAAGCATATAAATTAATCCTTCTTTGAAATATTATCCAGCCCATTCATACATACAGTCAAAGCAGGAACTTAATTCAGTATTTATTGCAAAAGTACTCCCATGGGCTAAAAGAATTAATGCAAATTTCAAAGAATACTAGGAATTGTTTGAACACAGGGTATAGATTTCTCAGTGTCCATAATGGTCCGCCAAAATGTCAAATAAACTCATTATTTTCCTCACTACCTTGTCTATGGTTGGTTGATCCAATCAGCTCTTTATCCTCATTCAAAAAGGTGTATTCTCTAACAGATTATAGCTGCTTAATATTGTCTAAAGTACTGCTGTCCAATAGAACTTTCTATGTTGGAGGTATCCTATATCTATGCTGTCTAATACAGTAGCCACATGAGGCTATTGAATACTGGAAATATGAGCACTGAAAATATGGCTAGTGTAGCTGAGGAAGTGAATTTTAAATTTTATTTAATTAATTTGTTTTTATTTTTTAATTTAAAAAATTTTTTTGGAGACAAGGTCTCACTCTGTCACCCATGTTGGGGTGCAGTGGCACAACCATGGCTCACTGAAGCCTCCAACCTCATGGCCTCAAGCGATCCTCCTGCCTCGGCTTCCTAAAGTGTTGGAATTGCAGGTGTGCATTACCTTGCCCACCTTAAATTAATTTAAATTTAAATAGTCACATGACTAGTGGCTCCTATGTGGGAACCTGGGTTTTATGTAACCGCAGTAGTAGGGGTTGAGGCAGGCAAAATTCCTCTTACAAATCTCCTCTTTCTCCTCAGGTGAAATAGGGGTAGCCCCTTCTAATTAAGGGTGGGTGCCTGGGAGATAGTTTCATTCTATGAGGTAAGGTGCTAGCCTAGTCACGAGACAGGGAAAATATATATTTCAAGGGAAGCTGGAGGAAAGCTTGTTGCCAAAAGGTAGGATTTCTTGGTATCTGGTGATGAAATGTAATTTCCCAAGTTGTAGATGGGATTCATCTGGAAAAAGGGGGTTGGATCTCATGTTTTGGCTTGAGTAGTTCCTTGCAAACTCTCTTTCCCCTGAGCCCAGGAAGCTGCATCTGCCTTTCATTAGATTGTGAGTTCTCCTGCATGAATATTGCCGAATGCTGTGTTCTGCCGTGCCCCAATGGCCTGAAGTACTGAATCAAATCATATTTGCTTCCTTCCTCTCTTTCACCAGGGCATCCAGTTAATCAAGTTCAGCTGAGCTTGTCTCCCAACTACTATAAAACATGTTTACCCCTTTCCTTCCCAGCTTCCACTGCTCTAGTTCAGATCCATAGCAACTTTTGCTTGGACCATTGCTGTGGGCCCCTGTTTCCAATCTAACACTCCTCTAATCAGGGTCATTGTGCACAGTTGGGCAGTTTGTGTATTGCACATGGGTGCCTGGCCATGAAGGTTGGTGGGGCTGAAGTATAGCCTGCATTCCTACACTCTGGTGTGGGCCTCTGTCCATCTGGAGAAAGTAACTTTACAAAAACTTTTATTGGATTTTATTTTATTTTATTTTTTTAGAAAAGAAATAGAGATGAGCTCTCATTACATTGCCCAGGGTGGTCTCGAACTCCTAAGCTCAAGTGATCCTCCTGTCTTGGCCTCCCAAAGTGGTAGGATTACAGGCATGAGCCACCGTGCCTGGCCAAAAGTAACTTGATAATTTGCACATAGGTGCCGCATAATCCTGGTAGTACAGGCCTGTACTGTCCAATACACTAGTCACATTTTACTTAAAGTGATGTGAAATTTAAAGTTGGGTTCCTCAGTCATGCTAGACAATTTACAAGTGCACAATGGCCACATGTGGCTAGTGGCTACTGTGTTGGGCAATGTAGGTATAGAAAATTTTCACCATTACAGACAATTCTATCGCACAGCACTGGACAGGCCCTACTTCTAAACTATTCTATGCAATTTGCTAGGTGAACAATCTTTAATGCGAATCTAAACATAGTCTTCTTTTGCTCAAAAGCCTTCAATGATTTTCACTTCCATCAGCAGCAATCAGTTAATAGAGTTTTTTTCTTTTAAAAATGGTTGTAATGGAAAATTAATCAATTTTGAATCAATTTTGTGTGTTACAACCAGTATTAAAAACAAAAAAGTAGCAAAAGAGAGTAGCAGGGAAAGTACTTATGGATCATTAGTACAGTTTTGTGAAATTTTTGTTTTGGTTATATCTATATATCTTTGCCTCTATATCTAGATTTCCATCTCTTCATAACTTGCTGTCTGTATGATATTCCACTGGGTTGCAATGAAAAAAATTTTTCTGGTTGTGTGTGGTGAGCAAAAAATTTGGAAAAATTTGGGCTTATGGGATAAGAAGTCTGAGCTCCATAATGAAGCATATAAGGCCCTCTATGATCAGATCCCTTGCTAATTCATTTCTAACTCACACCACTGTCTTGCACTTATGTTCCATTAATACAGAATTGCTGCTGGTTTCACCTGAGACACGAAGCTTTATTTTTCTTTTCTTTTTTCCATCTCTGTGCGTTTCCTCATTCTGCACCGTTTCCTTGGACTGCCAGTTCTACCTTCGTTTTGCCTGGAGAACTTCTGCTCCTCATCTAAGGCCAACTCAGGAAACACCTACAGCAGGAATCCTGCCTAAATGCTCCAGGGCGGGCTGACTGTCCTCCTTCGACCTTTCAGAACATCCCACACACGTCCGTTTACGGAGTTATAATAATTATTTTTTTAGGTGTTAATTTCCGGCACTATACTAAGTTCTTTCAATGCAGGTACTATCTTATTCATCTTTGTATCTGAAGCGAGAAACGCGGTACCTGTAACAAACTAGGCACTCATTCAATAAATATTTGTTGAAAGAATAAACGCGAGAAGGAAGGAAAAATAATCAACTGTGCGGACAATGTCAGTGCAACGCAGACTCCAGCCATCAGAGGGCGCCGGGGCGGCTGGGCTGGTGCGCAGGCGCGCTGAGAGGGCTGGCGCCGAGGTGGTATCGGCGGCGGTCGTGGCTGTGGCCGGGGGAAGTGAATGGTTTTACCCAGAGGGCCCTGCGCCGCCTTTCTCCGCTGGCACCGGCGCCGCTCCCTGCTCCTCCTCCCTAACCATGGCGTTCACGTTCGCGGCCTTCTGCTACATGCTGGCGCTGCTGCTCACTGCCGCGCTCATCTTCTTCGCCATTTGGCACGTGAGTAGCCGGGGTTGTGGGAGGGAGGGCGAGGCGGCAGCGCAGCCTCTTTTCGCCCGGGGCTCGCGGTCGGGGCCGCCACGGCGGCCGGTGGTTTGCGCGCCTGGCTTGCGGTCCGGCTGGTGCGGGCGCGCGGCGAGGGGTCTGCGCGCCATCCATCCGCGGTTTGGGGGCCGCGGGTACTGGAGGAGCCTGGGCGCGCGGTCGCCCGGTGGATGCGCTCGCGGTGTCTTGGCACAGGCCGCGCGCACCGCTACTCCTCCCGGGCTGGGTGGGGCGGCCGCGGTCCAGGCGGGCCCCTGCGGTTCAGCGCTGCGTTCGCACCGACCTCTGCTGGCCCGCGGCCCTGCATCCCCGTATCCCCGCATCCCTGGGGAGGATGTCAACGGCATGGTGGTACGGGCGTAGTGTGAATGAAGTTTTCCTAATTTTTGTTAATGTAGATTGGCTTTCTTTTAGGGTTTCCACGGAACTGTGGCCAAAATGTAACCTACTTAGGGTGAATTTCCAACTCTACTTCTCAGCACTTGTTGGGTGCTCTTCAAATCAAATTACTTTTTTTTTTTCTTTTTCCAGATTGTTGTTTCCTGGTGAACTTTGATGCAAGTTCGATTGATTACTTTGTTGATTGCATGTCCGCGTTTCCCCCCCAAATCATACTTTGACCGCTGGAATTCCAACCGGCAGCCTTCCAAGCCACCCTTATATTCAGGATTGCTTGATTTAGTAGAGGGGGTTTTCTTTGATTTTGAGATGCTCAGAAACCTTAAGCTTTTTGAGGGCAGTATTTATTTCTGTTACACACATCATCATCACTGTTGCAGGGTGGAAGCACAGCATTACTGGTCCCTCTAAGGAAAAAGTCGTAAGTTCCCAGCGACATAGTTCTACAGAGATTTTAAAGAATTTCTGTTGCTTTAGCACGAAATTAAAAGCATTGAGAGCCCTCTGGAAATCATTCATTAAAAATGTATCTCATACTTGCTTCTCTTTTCCCCATATTCCAGTACCTTCTCCTATACTGCTTTTAATTTGAATGAACACGTTCACTCTTATGTAGATTTTAAGTCAGGTTTCATCATGCCCGTAACAAGGATTTCTACGAAACATAAGGAGGGGCAGAATGATTCAATAGCAGCAGCGTCTTATGCAAAAAAAAATCTCGAAAGTGGAAGCATATCACAATCCATTCTTTTTGCTAAGCAGTGTGGTTATGTTTATAATTATTTTAGGACCTGACTGCTTATTGTAATCAGGAATACTTATGTAGGCTATTAACTGTGTCAGAAATAACTGCTAACTCAGAATGCTTATCAGTAAGAGCCAGTAATTTGAAGAGCATCTTTAGCTCTGCTTTGGTGGAAGAATACCTAAGATAATTTGGGATACAGACTAGCTCAGCCTTAGTAAGCCTGTGATGAAAATGTGTGATTCCATGGCTGGGCGCGGTGGCTCACGCCTGTAATCCCAGCACTTTGGGAGGCCGAGGCGGGAGGATCACGAGGTCAGGAGTTCGAGACCAGCCTGGTCAACATGGTGAAACACTGTCTCTATTAAAAATACAAAAAAATTAGCCAGGCGTGGTGGTGGGCGCCTGTAATCCCAGCTACTCGGGAGGCTAAGGTGGAGGAGAATCGCTTGAACCCGGGAGGCAGAGGTTGCAGTGAGCCGAGATGGCGCCACTGCACTCTATCCTGGGCCAAGACTCCGTCTCAAAAAAAAAAAAGAAAGACAATGTGTGGTTCCATTCCATCTGTAGATGTAGCTTTAAGTCACTCTCTGCTTGATGGTTATTCCTTTTTTCTGGAATGAGGGGGATTCTTAGAGCTCTGGGGTAGCCTTTTCCACATTTGTACGTTTTGGACCAAGTAGTGTTTGGCTTACGGAAAACCTGAACTGCACTTTCAAAAAATGGGTAATTTAATTTCAGCTTTGAAACAAATGCGTGTCTGGGCGAAGTAAATAATTTTAAGTCGTGTTATAGAATTAAAAAAAAATTGTACCACAGATTCGTGGAGAGCTTTTATGCTTAGGGATTTCTTCGTTCGGAGACTTAGTATCCTTTGGAAACAATTCTAAATAAATAGATAGTTTTAATTTTTCTATTATCCATATATCCTTGTGTTTATCATCTTAGGTAGTATCTTAGTCCGTTTGTGTTGCTATAAAGGAATACGGGGAGGCTGAGTAATTTACAAAGAAAAAAGATGTTTATTTACCTTCTGCTGGCTGTAAGACTGGGCATCGGGTGAAAGCCTCAGCTTGCTTCCACTCATGGTTGGGGAGTAGTGTATAGAGATCCCATAGTGAGAGGAAGCAAAGGAAAAAGAAGGGGAGGTGCCAGGCGCTGTTTACCAGCCAGTTCTCTTGGGTGCTAATAGTAGAACTCACTTATTCCCTCCAAGATGACACCAAACCATTCATGAGGAATCTGCTCCCATGACCCAAACACCTCCCCTTAGATTCCCGCCTCCAACATTGGGGATCAGATTTCAACCTGAGATTTGGAGAAGTTAAACCAAACTCTAGCAGGTAGTTGAAGTATCTTTCAGAAGACTCATTTTACAATTTTTAAATTACATTCCAAAAATCTTATTTACATTAGTCACTGTATTAGAGAATGTTTTTTATGCTGATGATTATATCTGTCAATTTAGTCCTAATTCATGTCATTGATGCTCTGTGGAGAACAGAGTCGGGAGCATAGATTGTTTGAAAACTTAAAAGTTTAGAAGTCATTCCTTAAAGATGTGTAACAAGTTGGAAGGTATCCTGAATTCTGTACTTGGCCATCATTAGGGATTTATCTGTTTCATTTTTGTTATACTTCTGTGGGAAATTTTGTGGGTGTCTTTGCTCAGCCACATAGCTGCAAAAAGATTTGAAAACCATTAATTTAAGAGTCTTCTCAGAAGAGGTTCGAAAACCCTAACCTATAGCACTCAAAGAGAAACCCATTCAAAACATACTTAAAAGATCCCTTGTAGCTGGGCACAGAGGCTTATACCTGTAATCCCAGCACTTTAGGAGGCCAAGGCAGGGGGATCACCTGAGCTCAGGAGTTTGAGACCGGTCTGGGCAACATGGTAAAATCCCATCTCTACAAAAAATCCAAAAATAAGCCAAGCGTGGTGGCATGCAACTGTAGTCCCAGCTACTCCGGAGGCTGAGGCAGGAGAATCATTTGAGCCGAGGAGGTGGAGGTTGCAGTGATCCGAGATTGTGCCACTGCCCTCCAGCCTGGGTGACAGAGTAAGACCCTGTCTCACAAAAAAAAAAAAAAAAAAAGAAAAAGAAAAAAAAAAGATTTTCTTGAAGTCACCTGAAGAAAATATCCAACTAAATGTCAGTTTTAAAGACAAGTTTTGTATTCTGTTAAGTTGAATCTTGTTATTGACAAATACTTGTGATTATGATCCTTGTCTTGAGCTTTATTACTAAAATGCATTGGGGATATATACCACGGCTGACATCAAGTAGCTGACTAATCATGTCCATAAGTAATCAGAAATTAGTATTTTCTAATTACACATTTATATTTTTAACATTTGTCTTAGGTGTCATTAGCCAAGGGAAATCCCCTCTGGTGAGTTCTGCACTTTTTTTTTTAATCCCAAGTGCTATTTTTTTCACCCCTTCCTTCCATTTAATGTTTATTGAGCACTTATGTGCCAGGCACTATTTTATATTTTAGGCCCTGGGACATAATAGTAAATATAACAATCTTTGTTCTTTCAGAGATTACGTTCTAATGTTTTATTATTTTCCTTCTATTGCTATTTGGTTGGAGTTTTTATTTGGGCAGGTTGGTGAATTTTATAGAACTCTAGAAATTAAACTATCTTTTTATAAAACTAAATTTTAACAGGGAAATAAACAGTCATGTTAAAAGATGGAAATATGTAATTTTACTGATTACTGATAATATTGAGCAACACTTTGACATGTAAAGATACTATTCCTAACTCATTAGAGGAAGGGTAGCTTAGGTTGTGTGTACCTGGGATGAGTAGTGTTGGCAACTAACATGGCTCCCCCATCAACTTGCTGCCTTTGTCTTCTTTCTTTGACACCTGAAATGATGCCACAAAGTGGTGCATAGCCCCTATTTTGACTCTTAACGTACATTCTAGTGACTCTTAAAGTTGAAGCCACATTCCTCCAGAGTGTGGACAGAAGCATCCTTAGAAATGTATGTGTTTGGGCACAAATGGAAACAAATTGAAGAGTTAAAATCCATCTCTAGTGTCCCACTGAGCACTGTGCCAAGGGAGGAGGAGCATGCACAGATAAATAAAAATGGTCCTTCTCCCTGAGAATGTAGAGGGGAGGACAGACTTGTGTGTAAATACCACACTCATGGCAATGAGAAAAACCATATTGATGGCATTATAGAGTCCCATGCTGTGTGGAGATGTGGACAGGGATGCAATTACTTCTGCCTAAAGGAGTTAGGAAAACCTACAGAAAGAAATTGGCATAGGAAGGTTGGTTTTTTTTTTTTTGGATAAAGAGGAATTTGTATAAACAGTTGAAACGACTTTTCTACTCAGAAGATTATTTCAAGTAGAGATAAGTTGAAATAACTTGAGCAGAGGCATTGAAGAAATTGAAAATTGGAGGTATTTATTACAGTGATACCAAATTTTAGTGATACTGAGATAAGAATGTTTTCACTTCTTTAAATTGGATTCTGGCTCTTCTTTTTGTCATATATGAGTTTAGTGTAAATTGGTATTTGTGATCTCGGTGTACTTTTGTTCTTGTTTTATTAACTTTAATAATTATTTGAATATGGGGCAGGTTTGTTGCTGTTTTTGATTAAAGTGAGTGTTCCTAACTGTTTTAATTTTATTTTAGATTATAGCATTTGATGAGCTGAAGACTGATTACAAGAATCCTATAGACCAGTGTAATACCCTGAATCCCGTAAGTTATAATATAGGATTTATCTTTAGATTTTAAAAAATATATTTGTTTTTAACTTGATGTAATTTGAAAATGGCCAGTATTCTGAGTAGCATAATATATTTGTACTTTTTGAAGTAGGCAGAACTTAAAAAATCTTTTTCCTGTTGTGCTTGACTATTCTATTATTAATCTGCTGGTGGTCTTGTCAGCTGTCATACTAACATTCTTCCAATCTGCTTTTTACATTGTCGGCCAAAGACAGTTGAAAAGGTCAAAAAGATTAAAAGAGTCAAAATTGCATTAAAGGTGTGTACTGCTTTTTAGTTTAATGTTTTAATGCTATATTCATTTCATGGGGAGGGTTAGGGCATTTGTATTTGTAATGTTTTGTTCAGTGTGCTCGTTCATATGCCTGTTGAGGTTTATGATTTCATGAAATTTCATATTTTATGCAAATATATGCTTGCTAGCCCGGTCAAGTAGGGAAAGCTGTTAAATGCGTATGCGTTTTTTTTATGTTATAGCCATAGGCACTTGTATGTGAAATTATTTAGTGCAGTACTTGAAAGTTGGTTAACATAAAATGACTAATAGATGGTGAGATGATTCTCGGGTTGTGACTTATGGTGAGGTAGTATGTGAGTGAAATCTTTAGTATGGACTTATCTGCCATATCTAGTTTGTCTTTGGTTTGCATATTCTGGAATAAATGAGTCATTCTTTCAGCTGATGTTTATTCAGAGCCTGTTAGGTGGATACCTCTGTTCTGGGGGCTCTCGATCTCACAGTAATGCCATTCTTTGAACTTAAGGTGCCATAATTTTGTAGATAACAGTTTGTGTACAGATGTCTACGTAGTTATTTCTAGTGTGTATTTACTTTCTATTTCTGAAACAGGCCTGAATTACACTAAGTTCTGAGCTATCATGAATTTAGTGCTACTGTAGCTCCATTGTGCTTGGGGTGTTTGAAAAAATATATATGTATGTATTTTAAAATTTTCTTTTGAGATGGTGGGGGGGATCTCTGTATTGCCCAGGCTCGTATCAAACTCCTGGGTCAAGTGATCCTCCTGCCTCAACCTCCTGGGTAGCTGGGATTACAGGCGCACACCAAGGTACCCAGCTTGTTTTTTGTATTTTTGAATGCATTTAGGAAGATTCTCCTTTAGCCTGTGTATTTGATTGTGCCCGATTGGTCAGGAATTGAATGGTTGGTTGTTTATAAGAAAGCCATGGGTATGTCTTCAAGAAATAAAATACAGTAATTCAGCTTTAAAAATTACTTAATGAAGGAGAGAGTTTGTGTAGATTTTAGTTGTCTAGCATACTAGTGTACTAGCACTAGTGTGCTAGAGGGATTTTATTTGGAAAAGCATCTAGAAAGTTAGTTTTGCATTTTATTATTGTTTCCTAGATAACTGTAGATGGTGGAAGAGATTTCTAGTTTGTCTTTAGAGAACTGTTACAGTAAGAGTTGATGTAGGTACAATTAAAAGTATTAACTTACTAGCTGTTTCTTTGCTGTTATGAAACAAGACATGAGTAGATGAGTTTGCCTTCTGTTGGAAAGTAGTGTTAATTGTAAAACATTTTAACCTAAGTAGTTGAAGTTGTTACCAGGAAATGAAGAAACTGAAATTTCCCCTTTTGATAGCTGTTTATTAATAGTGTTCTATGCTGTTTGTCTTTTCATTACTTCAAATAACCAAATGATGATGAAGGTAAAAATATCTGAAATCAGATGAGGATTTTCCTGGGTGCTAGGCTCTGTGCTAAGCACTTTGCCTGGATTTTTTAATTTAATTCTTTTTTTTTTTTTTTTTTTTTTTGAGGCGGAGTCTCGCTCTGTCGCCCAGGCTGGAGTGCAGTGGCCGGATCTCAGCTCACTGCAAGCTCCGCCTCCTGGGTTCACGCCATTCTCCTGCCTCAAGACTCCCGAGTAGCTGGGACTACAGGCGCCCGCCACCTCGCCCGGCTAGATTTTTGTATTTTTTAGTAGAGACGGGGTTTCACCGGGTTAGCCAGGATGGTCTTGATCTCCTGACCTCGTGATCCACCCGTCTCGGCCTCCCAAAGTGCTGGGATTACAGGCTTGAGCCACCGCGCCCGGCCTTTAATTTAATTCTTATGACACTCCTGAGGTAGGTATATTGTTATCTCATGAATAGGAGAGTAAACTGAAGCTTTGCCAGGTTAAAGCACTTTGCCGAAGGTTATACAGCTAAGATAGAGCAGAATTTGAACTCAAGACAGCCTAATTTTTGAAGCTCAAGCTCTTGTCTTTTCCTAATGTATTGTAAATTTAGGAGGGACTGGTTTCATTTTAACAGGTAATGTGCGATTCCTGGCTTTTCTTAATGGAAAGAAATTATCACTGAGAAGAGACATGTGCTTGGGACATCCTAATGCTGCAGGAGGTTGAAGGCCATTTTTATAGCAGCACAAGTTGCCTTTTGGATAGGGTGCCGATAATTGGCTGAATAGCAGTGCATCTGACAGTTTTCCCTATTTAAATTTGTTTTGACAGTTCTGCCAAAGTATGGGGGAAGACAAATATCACTATTTTTTAAATTGTGAACTTTAACAAGAGAATATTATGTTTTGCATGTTTAAATACTATCATTTCAGCTATATTTGCATGAGGTATTTTTTCTGGATACTAGTTTCTGTTTGAACCTTGGTTCCTAAATGGAATAATTTTTGTGTCACTTAAGGGGATATTTTGTCATTAAAGAATGGTCGGAGAGGGTTGGTTTTTAAGAGAGATGGGTGGTAAATGTTTCTGGACTCCTTTTGAGGAGAAGGGAGGGAATAACATTTGTTTCATATGAGAACTGGTAGAGTTGTAGATTATCTTTATTAGCACTTTTTATTAAAGTATATTAAGAGCGGGAGGGGGTCACGCTTTCAAAATCATTCTTTCCATACTTCAGTCTGTAAGTGTAGGGTAAAACCTTGCATGATGATTTGTTTGTTAGATATCAGTTGGCTTTTTAGGGCTGAAATAGGCTTATTATATTTTAGAGACAACATCTGTACTTTAAACAAGTATTATAAAAGCAACTGTAGTGGAATTCTTAATAAAATGTATGTTTTTCATGGTTTGTTCTGGTTATAGTCCTTGAGTTTCGGAGTCCTATAGCCATTTTCTTCTTTAGAGAATTTTGATCTTAAATAGATGCTGGCTTAAATGTTATTTGGAAGTGTATGTACATATGCAGAGTTTATCTTTTATTATAATGTTTAAGTTTGTAGAAAGTATTTGGTTAGTGGTATAGATTAGTTGTTTACCTGGATTTCATCTAAAATAGTATTCATTGAAAAGCCCCTTCTACAGCTTTAAATTGGAAAGAGTAATTTGGAAGTATGAGAAAATGGGCCTGAGTATATAGTATGTTTGCAATCTCTACAGCCATGGTTTCCCCTCAGGAGTGAGCTGATGATGATAAGCATTCATAAGATTTCCATTTGGTATGAAGTAAACATTTGAGAAACTGGCTTTGTAGCTGTGACTTATAGGAGATACTTTGGCTGAAACTTGCAATGAGAGGGATTGGTATTTTTATTTCACAAAGTTCTCAGGCTGAAATCTTTAGGATGAGAAAGGTAATTTAAAATAAAGCATTAACTCGTGGTCATTTTATAAAAAGCATTTTGCTTGAATTAATTTTTCTTCACTTAATACTACCTACTACCAAAAGGTTTATTTTGTTTTTGGGTTCTGAGCTTCTACTGGTCTTCTGTTTTGTCTTACCTTTTTGTTGGCAAGCAGGCGTAAAGAAACGGAAAGGCCACCTAAGAATGAGAACTTGGGAACCTGGAAAATCCTAATTTCATGGTTAAGCACTCAGTCTTTTCCCTCCTACATTGCAGAAAGCAAATCTTTTACATTTGTGCATATTAGTGTTCTTCCCCCCACTGTGCTGAGATTATTGGCTGATTGGCTTTCCATTAAAAAATTACTTCTGTGGGAATGCGATGTGGTTTGCTAAATATTGTGTATGTAGCATTTCTGATTTCTGTTAAAGGCTTAAAAACACCGATGTGTAAAATTCTAAAGGGGAGTTTTGTTTCTGTGGAACTTTTAATATGTTGCATGTGATCAGATATCTCATTTTTGTACTTCTATCATTGTTGAATGGTGGAAAGAAAAAGTATTCTAGTTGACTAGCAAATTGTTTAACAATCTGGGTGGTAACTTTGTATAATTTGATCTATTACTCTTAAGAATTTGAGCTTTAAATTTTAAGTCATGTATCTTACTGTGTTATGTTAGTGCAAGCTATATACTCTGGTCAGTTTGCCTGTAATCCTACTTTTGGTAAAAACTTAAACATGGAAATAAAACTCAGTAGCATCTTTTATTTCTGACTCTAAGAAAACAGTGATTTTTCATTATGGAAACTTGGTTGCCACCTGCTTTCCAGATTAGCAGTTGACTTAATGCCGAGGCATTTTGATCACTGGCCTGTGTTTTCCTTCCAGCTTGTACTCCCAGAGTACCTCATCCACGCTTTCTTCTGTGTCATGTTTCTCTGTGCAGCGGAGTGGCTTACACTGGGCCTCAACATGCCCCTCTTGGCATATCATATTTGGAGGTAATATTTAGATACACTTTTAATTTTTTAAAATTAAAACTTAAATATACTGCGGTTGATACGGTTATCTCACATGCTAGTTACCTACATAAAAATGGAAGCTTAGTTGGCATTTATTTTTTAAAAAATCAAGTGGATGAACAAAAACTGTTTCAATACCTCTTACAGAGCTTTATTTTTAAAGGAATTTTTTTTTTTTAAAGTGAAGTATAACAGTGTTTTGCACAAGTCTGAAGTATATAGCTCAATGAATTTTTACATATGTATACACCTGTTAAACCACCACCCAGCTCAAGATACACAACAGTTGTGGCCTCCAGAGCATGCACTTGTGTCCCATCTTAGTCAGTTACCCTCCACACCTCCCAAGACCTCTATCAACTTAGATTAGCTTTGCTTGTCCTTGAATTGCAGATAAGTCAAAATGTACAGTGTATGTCGAATTTCTTTCTGTGTTTATGACTAACTTAGGTTATTTGTAAAAGGTAATATTTTTAACTTCCATAGTTATATCTGCAGTATATAGAGTTAAAAGTTTTTGTTTTAAATAGGCATGTCACAACCTTATTGCCCTTGATTTTAGGAGATACATACTGAAGAAATATTTAGGAGTAAAGTGGTATCAGGTCTACAATGGACTCTGAAATGATTCAGAAAAAAATGTACTTGGCTGGGTGCAATGGCGTACGCCTGTAATCCCAGCACTTTGGGAGGCCGAGGTGGGTGGATCCACGAGGTCAGGAGTTCAAGACCAGCCTGGCCAAGATGGTGAAACCCTGTCTCTACTAAAAATACAAAAATTAACCAGTCATGGTGGCGGGTGCCTGTAATCCCAGCTACTTGGGAGGCTGAGGCAGAGAATTACTTCAGGCTAGGAGGTGGAGTTTGCAAGATTGTGCCAGTGCACTGCAGCCTGGGCAACAGAGCAAGACTCCATCTCAAAAAAAAAAAAAAAGAAAAAATTTACTCAGGGCCAGGTGCAATGGCTCCTCCCTGCAATCCCAGCACTTTGAGAGACTGAGGCAGGTGGATCACTTGAGCCTAGGAGTTGGAGAACAGACTGGGCAACATGGCAAAATCCCCTCTCTACAAAAAATACAAAAAAATTAGCTACGCATGGTGGTGTGTGCCTGTAGTCCCCGCTACTTGGGAGGCTTGAGGCAGAAGGATTGCTCGAGCCCAGGAGTCTGAGATTGTGGTGAGTCGAGATTGTACCACTGTATTCCAGCCTGGGTGACAGGGTAAGACCCTGTCTCAAAACAAAACAAAAAAACAGTACTCAGAATGAGAAAGAGAAGGATAAAGCAAATATAGTAAAAATGGACATTTGAAATATCTGGGTGAAAGGTTCTTACATCTTTTCTGTAAATCTAAAACTATGTCCAGATAAGTAAAAGCAAAACACCTATTTTCTTTTTACAGTTCTTCCTGTTTTTCTTGGATTTCTGAAAAGGTAGAGACTAGATGAAGCTTGTTTAGCTATCTCATTCTGCTCATTAGGGACTCTACTTTTAAATTTAAGATGGTAAAAGAAAAGCATTTTACCTATAAGTAAAAGAATGCTTCCCTGTGTGGACCACCTTTCGTAACAGATGTTTTAGAAGACAGACCCGCTTTCTTATCTGAACGTTTGCTGCCCTTTCTGAATGCCTAATAGACTGTGTTTATTCCAGGTATATGAGTAGACCAGTGATGAGTGGCCCAGGACTCTATGACCCTACAACCATCATGAATGCAGATATTCTAGCATATTGTCAGAAGGAAGGATGGTGCAAATTAGCTTTTTATCTTCTAGCATTTTTTTACTACCTATACGGGTAAGTTGAAAAGGTAAAATGAAATATGCTTTCACTTTGCTGCTTTAAAAGTTTGCAGGCATTATGGTTTTCACACCTTAAAATCCATTCGAAGAATAACTTAGTGTCTTAAGTGTGCATGGTGCACACCAGCAAATTCTCACACACTCAATGTGATCCACACTGGTGCTTATCAAGGCAGTAAACCAGTCTGCTGTCAGAGGCAGAAGGTTTGGTCAGGGATGCTGCTTCCTAAGTTCTCAGACACATTCAGTTGGTAAAGGATGGTCCTCATTCTCTGTGGCAAAGTGATGTCATTGAAGGATAGGGATGTGTGAGTTTGCAGAAGTTTCTGCTTGTCTTCAGGGTCTCTCCCGACATTATGTTTCATTTTTTCTTTATCATTCCTCATAAGTGGTGTGCTCTGCCCTTTATTTTCTGATTTGCTTGATTTGAGTGGTATGAATGAAATAAGTAGTTCTACCTTACAGGGTGGTGCAGTTTCTGATTTTTTTCCTTTTTGTTTTGAGATGGAGTCTCTGTCGCTTAGGCCGGAGTGCAGTGGCACGATCTCTGCTCACTGCACCCTCCGCCCCACCAGGTTCAAGCAATTTCCCTGCCTCAGCCTCCTGAGTAGCTGGGATTACAGGCGTGTACCACCACCCCTGGCTAATTTTTGTATTTTTAGTAGAGAAGGAGTTTCACCATGTTGGCCAGGCTGGTCTTGAACTCCTGACCTCAGGTGATCTGCCCACCTTGGCTTCCCAAAGTACTGGGATTACAGGCATAAGCCATCGCGCCCGGCCTGATTTTTTTTTCTTTTATACTCTGATGGACTCATTGTTCCTCTAGGTCAGGATTTCTCAACTTCAGCAATGTTGACAGTCTGGGCTGTGTGGGAATTTCTGTGGGAAGCTGTCCTGTATATTGTAGGACGTTTAGCAGCATCCCTGGCCTTTACCCACTAGATGCCATTAGTGCCCTCCTGCCCCCCGATGACAACCAAAAATGTCTCTGGACATTGCCCAGATGTCCCAAGGGGCAAAATTGCCCTGGTTGAGAACCCCTGCTGTAGGTGTGTTGTAGGTGCGGTGAAATGACTGCTTATTACAACTAGAAAAGGGCACTGTTAAATGTAGAATTATATGTTTCTTTAAGCCATGTGAATATGCTTTTACACATCACTTATATAAAATACTTTCTCGTTTTTTATCAATACATATTCAACTAGAGAGGGCTTTCTCCTTGATTTTCAGAATATTTCCAAAAAAGCTGTAAGCTTTAAAAAAACAGCATAAAGTTCCATTCTCCCTTTCGTTACTTGAAAACTTGCTAAGATAGGCTTATATTCATATTCATATTTCTCTTTATACATAAGTTTCCATCATAGAAAAAGAATGGTTAGACTGAAATTTAGGAAAAAGATATTTTTGGTATTTTTATGCTTTTAGAGGCTATTACTGTGAAAATGAATATCCTTTAGTGCATATGCAGATATTACTCATCTATGAAACAAAGAAATGCTCTGAAAAGTGAAATTCTATGTGTCATTTTAATTTCCTGTTAATTTTCATTTTGTAAGTTTCCATAGCAAATGTCTGGAACAGGGCTGGCATATAATAGGCACTTCAAACATACATGTTGAATGAAAGAAATGAAGTGAATGATTGAATAAATGATAAAGTTGGAGTTGTGCAGTTGTGGGAAAATGTTCACCGGGATATGGTAGCACCAGGACATTTGTTCTGTTTTAAAGTTGTCTATCAAGCTTGTTCAACTCCTTTGTATTTCTGTTTAGAGATACATGCTTTTTGGACCATGCCCCTATGCCTTTCCCCTGTCACTCTATGTAGAATTGCCCTTGGCAGTTCTTAAACCTAAATCAAAAGGTCATTGCCTTTTATTTTGCTGTTTTCCCCCCTTTTCTTTTTTAACCGCTTCCTAAAAGTTGCTATTGCTTGGAGCCTTTCTCTAATGGGAAAGATCCTTGATTGATCATTCCTTTCTATACAGTGGGAATACAACTGGTACCTGCCTTCTAGGACTGTTTGGAGGATTAAGCGAGGTAATGTGTATGAAAGACCTAACGGCCCGTTGTGAAGTGAGCCCTCCAGAGATGCTCATTCTATTATTAGACACGACTCCAGAGCGTGTGGTGTTTGGATGGCTTCGCTAAGCTCTGATCCTCCATTAAGCTTTCAGCTGTGCTGTTCTACTTGCTAAAATTGGAAAGGGAATAGGGGACAACTACACCACATGCACTGAGCCAAGTCCTATGTTAGGCAAAAGTCCATAAATGCAAATTAAAATCACTGTGAACTTGTCATTAGTCTTTTCATTTTCTGTGATACTAGTTTGCTATATAAAGCATACTCTCTCATGCTCTTGATTTTTTTTTTTTTATAATTAGGAATGTTCAAATTAACAGCTTTTTTCTTCTTTTCAGCATGATCTATGTTTTGGTGAGCTCTTAGAACAACACACAGAAGAATTGGTCCAGTTAAGTGCATGCAAAAAGCCACCAAATGAAGGGATTCTATCCAGCAAGATCCTGTCCAAGAGTAGCCTGTGGAATCTGATCAGTTACTTTAAAAAATGACTCCTTATTTTTAAATGTTTCCACATTTTTTGCTTGTGGAAAGACTGTTTTCATATGTTATACTTGGATAAAGAATTTAAATGGAATTACGTATAAATTAATATAAAATGATTACCTCTGGTGTTGACAGGTTTGAACTTGCACTTCTTAAGGAACAGCCATAATCCTCTGAATGATGCATTAATTACTGACTGTCCTAGTACATTGGAAGCTTTTGTTCATAGGATCTTGTAGGGCTCATTTTGGTTTCATTGAAACAGTATCTAATTATAAATTAGCTGTAGATATCAGGTGCTTCTGATGAACTGAAAATGTGTATCTGACTAGTGGGAAACTTCATGGGTTTCCTTATCTGTCATGTAGACGATTATATACGGATCCATTTACAAAAATAAAAAGCGGGAATTTTCCCTTCGACTTGAATATTATCCCTGTATATTGCATGAATGAGAGATTTCCCATATTTCCATTGGAGTAATAAATATACTTGCTTTAATTCTTAAGCATAAGTAAACATGATATAAAAATATATGCTGAATTACTTGTGAAGAATGCATTTAAAGCTATTTTAAATGTGTTTTTATTTGTAAGACATTACTTATTAAGAAATTGGTTATTCTTACTGTTCTAATCTGGTGGTAAAGGTATTCTTAAGAATTTGCAGGTACTTAAGATTTTCAAAACTGAACGAGAGAAAATTGTATAACCATCCTGCTGTTCCTTTAGTGCAATACAATAAAACTCTGAAATTAAGACTCACTTTCAGTGCATTGTTTGAGATTACAAATAGTATTTCTTAAACTTGCTTAATCCATAATAAAGACATGTTGCTGTCATTTTTTTTAAAGTGACGTACTATGTTACGTTTTTTTCTGAAAAATACCATGCCTAGATCTAAAAAGGAAAATTTGTAAATGCCAAGCGCATTAACCTCTTGTCATTTGACAAGATTCATAAACGTGGATGGCATAGCATCATCATTTCTCTTACCAATTAAGAAAAATTATGGTGGCACTAAAAATATTTTACTTTTATTTTTCCTTTTTGGAACAGTCAGTTTTAAGGTAAAATGGCTTGCAAATTTGAGTTTTTGCCGCTGCTTGTAAGGCAGGTAAATTATGGCTTGCATGTTTTCATAAGCATAAATAAATCTTGTGCTTTATTTGGGATGAGGAAGTTAAGGCATTTGAAAATAAAATAAGTGGTTCGGAAGTTTCTTGAGAAGAGGATCAAAAGAAATAGAACCAATGTATAGAAATTTCACATAATGATCCAAGAAGTCTATGGATGTGTTTGTGGAAATCTTACTCTAATAACTTGTTGGATTAGATGCTGTTTTATTCTCTACTAGTGAAAAATGTTTTATTTCAGTGGTTTCCCACGGTTGGGAGAGAGAGTAGCTGTTAACTGTTCTGGGTAATGGGGGTGAGTATGTTGAGGAAGAGAGGTAGAACCAGAAGAGTGAGGAGACTCGAACCATTCCATAACAAGGAAAGCTTTAAAGACCTGGTATTTTACTGCTGGAGAACTAGAGGGATCTGACTCTTCGTCAGTTCATGCAACAAATTATTTATTGAGTACTTGCTGGGCTCTCAAGATTCATGCTTTCAGCACAGGCAGTCATTCCGTTTCCAGTCCACCTGATTAGATCAGCATGCACTTATTTTTCTTTCTTGTTCATAAGGACTTTTGATCATGCAAGGCCTGGCCAAGTCTATAATCCAGATGGGTTTCCTGGGGCTGTTACTTGAGTATTCCTGTCAAAATATTTTCACGAACCCTGCCTCTCTTAGCAAACACTACTTTCCTTCGTAAGTGTTAACAAACATGCTTTTAATAATCTATTCCAGAATATTCTCCAGGAGTAAGTTTACTGGTTGGAATTTGTGGAAGCCACTTTCTCATGTTTCCCAAATAAGATATGTAGTCCTCAGCTGATTCCTCAGAGATGATTGACAGTGAGTTTCATCCATCTTTGTGGTAGTTTGTTAGTTCCTAGGCATGTGATTAGAAGATTGAGTACCTGTTCTCCTAATATCTACCCACTTTTACCATGTCAGTGTTTTTTGAATTAGATCACTTACCAAGAGAAAGCAGAAACAAAATACTTGAATCTGACAATATCTGACTGCCTCTTTTCATTGCTCTGGATTTATTTTCCACATCAATCTCTTTGGGGTGGCCCTAGCCTATTATTCATGTGGGTTCAGCTGAGGCTTGGTTAACCTGGGTTTACAATCCAGTTTAAGTTAAACATTCCCTGTTTAGCAACAGCTGTTCACTTAGGTACTCTTTTTTTTTTTTTTTCCTTATTATAGTTACTTTTGGTATTATGTGCTTTATCTTTAAAAGCTTTCTAGCTCTAGGAAATTGTTTTCCCCATTTGTGTCTATCTGTGGTTATATCTATACCAACAACTTTTTGTTGCTATGGATACCACAGATTGTCCTGAATTAAAACTCTAACATAATAAATGTCTGTTTAGCCGTTACTTTACTGAGTAATAATACTATATCATGGCAATATGGCCCTTTAATACTAAGGAGGTTTAGGGGTAGAAATTATTTGAACACTCATATCCAAATGTTATTAATGATATTTGACAGTTTTCTCAATGCTTAATGATATTCCTCACTCCCCATTCCAGGGTAGAGGAGGGTTTGGTCCCAGGCTATGGACAAACTGCTAATTTGTTTGAGGTTTGAATTATTTTTCATGGGAAAGGGAAGTGACAGGAAATGACTAAGACTATCCACTTTTGACTTGAGTATGGGTCCAGTATTAGTAATGGTTTCCTAGGCTCACTGATTGTACCACGAACTGACAGACCTACCAGTCAATTTCATGTACCCAGATAAGGGTCTCACATGGCAACAAAGTACACAGCAGTTTGCAGTATGTGTCTCTTTTAAAGCCAGTTCTGTGTTTTCACCTTGACTACCACTCCTGCTGACAGCTCTCATAGAGCTCTTCTCTGCTCCCCAAATCAGTATATTTTGAAGCTATGTCAAATATTTACATATAAAGGAAATAAAGTTGTATGTGCTTTGAAACCAGCAAAATATTTTCCTTTGTACAGCACCTCTCTTTTCCTTTTATGTTTATGAATAGAGTTTGTGGAATATTGCCATGGTGTAAATAATGACTTCTCTGTGTCGCTTGTACCCTGTGGGGGTGAGCTTTCACTTTAGGTGTGGTTATATCCTAGCAGTGTATCAAGCCCACTCAAATAATGATCTATGTTTAAAAGTATGTGTCTAGTTTACTTATTTATGTCATTTAACATCCATAAATGTGCATCTCTCAATCAGCTGTATGATTGTAAATCAAATTTTGATGGCAAAAATATTCTAAAACAACATTCTTTAGGGGAAAGAAAAATATGGATATCTTATCTAGCATTGCTCATAAAAGTACTCATGTTCATCCTTTTTGGAAACTTAATCATGCTAGCCTTAGATCATTTTAAGCTCCTTTGCTCAAATCAGTCATTGATCTGCAGTATGATCAGCAGCTAGTAAGTCTGTGGTACTACCAGGATAGCTTAGAAGATGGTTCTGAATTAATACCTCAGAATGATGTCAAAAGTAAAAGAGTGGCTCTATTGCTAAATATATTGACTAGCTTTTTTATAACAATTTTACTTTGAAATTCAGAGTTCTAAAGCTAAATGTCTAAAAGAAGTAACTGCAGCTTGTTCTGCTGGTGTTGGAAAATAGTATTCACCATGTAAGATCTTTGGGGTTGGAGTGAAGGTCTTATCTGCATTAATTTTGTTAATGCACATTGTAGAAGATGTAGAGAACATCTTGACATGCATAAGAATTGCATGTCATAATTTTATTGTGTAGTGCTTTTTCTAAGTATTTACATTTCTTTGGTTACCATGTTCATGTGTTCTGGAGAAGTAAAATTTCTTGATTACTAGGCAGACCCTAAAACTGCTAAGAGAAACATAAAATGTAGTTAGCTGTCTCTGCTCATGGTTTGTTAATATCTAAGCTAACCTTAATGGTGCTGTACCCGCTGTCCACAGAAAATGCCCTTAAGTATAGCCCTACCTTACTCCTTAGAGCTTATTTTGCTTTTGTATTTAATAAAAATTGTCTTAAATGTTTCCTTGTGTAGTTTATGTATAATGGCTGAGTCTGTGTGTTAATTTCAAATGCCGCTAGTTTGTGTATGACCAGGACTCTGATTCTCTCTCCGCCCTCTTTGCTCATTGTTTTGGGGAATATCCCACAGGTGAGGTAGAGAAAATACTTTTCCCTGGAATGCTGGAATATTTAACTGGACAATTATATTTTAGTAATTGACATCTCATGTTTCCCTGTTACAGAATAGTTGATGTTTTCCCTTATACTTAGTATTAAAGTAGTTTAGTCAAGCATTTTAAAAAATTTTTTCATTTTTGTTTGAGACAGGGTCTCACTGTTGTCCAGGCTAGAGTGCAGTGGTGTTATCATGGCTCACTGTAGCCTCTATACCTCCCTGGGCTCAAGTGATCCTCCCACCTTCGCCTCCCAAGTAGCTGGGACCACAGATGCATACCACCACACCTGGTTAATTTTTGTATTTTTAGTAGAGACAGGGTTTCATCATGTTGCCTAGGCTGCTCTCGAACTCCTGAGGTCAAGCGATTTGCCTGCCTCAGCCTCCCATTAGTGCTGGGATTACAGACATGAGCCACTGCGCCTGGTCTACTGAAGCTTTTTAAATGTAGAGGCTTAAATAGCCCTTGCTGTGGGAATTGAGAGATGCAAATACTTTGAAAATTCAGTTGATTATTAAAGTATTTGATTAATCCATGCCAATATTTTCTCTCCATTTTCCTAAGTATTCATGAATAAGCTATGTACTTATGTTGAGAGAATGATAATATATATGCTTCTCAATTTACAATGGAATTATCTCTGGACATCATAAGTTGAAAATGTAAGTCACAAATGCATTTAATACACCTAAACTATCAAGCATCATAGCTTAGCCACTTTAAACATAGTCATAACATTTACGTCAGCCTACAGTTGGGCAAAATAACCTAACACAAAGCCAATATAATAATGTGTTGAATGTCTCAAACTGTACTGTACTGAAAGTGAAAACAGAATGGTTGTATGAATACTTGAACTACAGTTTCTACTGAATACATATTTCTTTCACATGATTGTAAGGTTGAGAAATCCCAAGTTGAACCATTGTAGATTGGGGACTGTCGGTAAAAGATTGGCTAATGTAAATATCAATGACTGTCTAAAGTTTAATAGAAATTGTGATTTTTAAATTGTATATGGTTATAATACAAAAATCATGAAGAAGGCCAATCTATTATTACAGTGTGTACTTAAAAAAAATGCCTTTCTTGGGCCGGGCACAGGGGCCCACGCCTGTAATCCCAGCACTTTGGGAGGCCGAGGCGGGCAGATCACGAGGTCAGGAGATTGAGACCATCCTGGCTAACACAGTGAAACCCCGCCTCTACTAAAAGTACAAAAAAAAAAAAAAATTAGCCAGGCGTGGTGGTGGGCCCCTGTAGTCCCAGCTACTTGGGAGAGGCAGGAAAATTGCCTGAACCCCGGAGGTGGAGGTTGCAGTGAACCGAGATTGCACTACTGCACTCGAGGCTGGGCGACAGAGTGAGACTCCGTCTCAAAAAAAAAAGCCTTTCTTGCTATATAACTTTTGGTATTAATTATATGAGAAAATGAAATCCCTAGGTTAACCATTTAGATCCTGCTGGGATATGTGATCCTCCTACCTTCCTGAGTATCCTCATAAAATGTTAAGTTCTAGAAGCAGCGTATGTATAAAAGTACAGTTGGTCGTCTGTATCTATGGGTTCTAAATCCGCTGACCCAACTGCAGATT